TTAGGATGGTATTCTATAGGGTAGATAAAACTGTTTAAAGTATGTAGGGGTAGTATTCTAAAAGGTAGTCTGATTTTCTTCATGGGGATCCCATACCCAGAAGCTACAATTATTACATAGGCGGTCNNGGTATTCTACTACAGGGTATTCCAGATGGTAGTCTATAGGGCATTCTATAAAGTAGTCTATACGGTACATAGGCGGTCTTCTATAAGGTATTCTACGGGAAATTCAGGGTGGTATTCTGGAAGGTATAGGTAGGGTATGTCGGGGGAACTGTATACCATATTCTGTAAGGTAGTCTAACTGTACGTTATTCTACAAAGTAATGTAGAAGGTATTCTATAGGGTATGTATAAGGGGCATTTTATAAGGTATCTTGTTCTCTATATGTATCCCTTACTAGATAAGCTTCGGTTTGTCCAGGAGTTCCGAGGTGCTAGGTTCCGCATTTTTCCTTCATGTGAATCCCTTACCCAGTAAATTATAGCTTTGGGGAGATCTCATATCTTGGGATCCTCCCGGTCTTTTCTTTTGTAAATGTTTCTCCTGTAAAATATTCTATAGGGTATTGTGGGGTATTCTATAGGGCATTTCTATATATGTCTATATATATATATACATATATACATATATATTTGTTTTTGACTGTTATTCAACAAGGTAGAAAAAAGGCAAAAGTCTTACCGTATTTTGTAAGAAATTTCTTCAAGGTGTGTAGAAGGGGTATTCTGTGAGGTATTCTACACGCAATTCTCGTTTATTCCTCATCTCTTTCATAGAAATCCCTTGTTCAATAAGCTACAAGATCTTGGGCTCCTCCTAATTTCTCCTTTGTATATACATATATATCTATCTAGATAGGGCTTGGCTTGGCTCGGTTTGGCTTGGCTTCGGGGTCCTCCCATGCACTTCCAGGTGGCATACATACATAGTAGATGACATAATGATATGCATCATGTATTCTACAACACTTATAATAATTACATAGTTTAACTTACATATATATATATATGTATAATTTCTCTTCGCAGAAGAAAAGCGGAGCATGATGAGACCAGAAGGGTGGAAAATCACAGAAGCAGAAAGAAGAAGGTTAGGGACGAAGCAAAAGACCCTCCTCTTCCCCCCCAAAAGGACCAACAAAACACCTTTTCAGTGTAGTGGGTTGAAGGTTTGCGGAGGTTGTGCATGGCTAGGATTTTGGACATTTGCTTGTTCAAAGAGTTTTTTCCTTGCCGGATCTACAGGCTATGCTGGGGATCTGCCTTTTTCTCCGGCGTACACTTGCGAAAACACTCAACCCAGATAGCCTGGAGCCTGTTGCACAGAAAAAAACAAAACGACACAGGCGTCACCGAAACGAAACGCACAAGACTTGCGTCGGCTCTGTGATATTTTGTGACACAAGATTCCGCAACAATTTGTTTATTGTTTTGGGCCCTGTTGTCGACTCTCACCTTCAATCTCCTCCTCTACTATCTGACGTGCTTTCCCCCTGCCTGGCGTTCCCATGCACGGCTTGAGGCGTACTTCGATGCACAGCTCTGCACCTCGAGACGGCGCATGCGAATCCGCCAGTTTGGACAAGCACCAGGTGGCCCCTCGCTATGCAACCAGGAGTCGAGGCTGTAGCCAGTCTGATGACATCATATTAACTCTTAGATCCTATGGGCATCTGAGAAGCATCGAGGAGGGCACTAAGCTGTTTGCGTGATGCAGCGGCATCGATGCCTGGCCAAACCAACATAGTGGCATTGCAAAACGTCTTTTCTACTTTGTGCTTCAGCAATATAGATAGCAATGGTAAGACACGTGTAGCAAAACCAAAGCCAGGTAGCAGTCGCAGGGTGCTCAAAGGAGGCCTGATGACCATGCTGTAAAACTGAAGACCAGCCAGAACGTGAGAAACTTCAACGGCAATGGGCATGAGCGGTTTAGCTGCATATTACATTCACGTGCTCATATCTGAGCAGGAAGTAACGGTACACGCCCGGCTGTCCGCTGTAGGGCAAGCAAGTGTCAATATCAGAAACCACGCTTATGATTGTGATCTGATTGTGTTGGAGTGACCTGTTAATAATGAGCTCAGGTCGAAAGGGAGTCTATGACAGGTCTATGAGTTTTGCTGCTCACCTCGACCCGTCGTGCCTGCTTACCTCCTGGGGCTTCGTCAGTGCCTGCCAATGGCTCTCGCAGCACAACCTCAGAAACATAGACATGCTTATTATGCTCTGACATGCCTCCAGGCCTACGAGTAGCACGTGTCGAGACAGATGCTGCAACAGTCGAAGAACCGCTGTCATCAAACAACTTCCTGTCAAGCCGCGGCAGACGCACCAAGACCCATGGCCACCAGAGCCTTCGGCGATTCTTCGAGTGCGACGAGCTTCTGCCAACATGCTAAGCACTCAACATATGGTGTCACGGTCTTGTACGGCATTGGGTCATGTTTTCCGGACGGGGCCGGCAAAGATGAGAAAAAACGGAACATCTGGAAGAGAGTCTGCATGCCTGTGATGTACTGCGAACACCAGCAGCTGCAACGGGGAGCTTGTAGTTGCCTCGGGCACCACTTCCTCCCAGATTTGCTTATGCCTTTGCGTTCAGGAACTTGGAAGACTGAGGTGCGGCCAAGCCTCGCGTCACGTAGTAAGCGACCTCATACACCATAGTGGCTTCGCCTGGCTGGCATGCCAAGTTGTGAAGCAAGCCGTTCCCTGCGTATCCCTGCGTACATCCTTTGTGAACTCGGGCGTGCAAGACATCCTGTTTGCGCAAAGTACGGAAGCGGTTTGGCTACGCTTTTTGCCTCGTCCGACTGCAACTGCAAGAGGTGCAGCCATTGGATCAGCTCCTGCGCCAGCCGAGGCTCCAAGTGTGAAGCATGGGCGCCCTTTGACCACGACCGACTGTGTGAACACACATCAAATGTAAAGGGTCGACCATGTTCGACTGACCATATATCACACCTTCGATCAACTTTTTCTCTCAATTTGCAACAGCTCCTGCATCGTTGCCCGAGCCTGCAATGATGCCATCGGCTCCTGCCTGACTATCCGATGTAGCTGCATTTTGCTTGGCATAGCACATGCAACCTCGTAAGCAGCCGCTTATAAACTCTCGAAGTCCAAGCTCTCCTCCACCAATCGCCTTGCTTCTCGCACTGAGGTTGCTGGTCCGGCGAGGACATCCACAGAAGGGTAATCGATCTTCAGCCGTCTTATCCTGAGACCCCCGCAGCCAAGATCTTTTCACACCATCCGTCGAGGCGACGTCAAAGGCACGTGCTCGATTTCACGATGCATGGCCACAGGTTGCTAAGAGCTGGGCAGTGAAAGTTGCTCATCCACACCATCGCCAAAGAGGTAGAGGACGTTGGCACCAGCCTATGCTACACAGCAAAATATCCCTTTCATTGCGGCGTCTCCACGGTGAAAGTCTGATAGAGAAGCAAGTGGACCGGTCCCATTTTTGGAAATTTGGACATGTAATGGGACACTTCCAAGCAAACACCGAGGATGATCGTTGTTTTGGAGCGCATGTGTTATTCCTGTGCAGGTTCCGGTACCCAACCATTTGCGGAAGTGATTGTTGCAGACTTGCACAACACTGAGTGCAATATGTCTCAACCTCGGGTCAGAGTCGGCAACCGGGGACCGCTGCTCCCACTCCGCCCCATGCATCCCATGCTCATGCTTAGATTAAATCTACAGCATTCCCAGACGCGAAGCCGTCAGCCAGGAGAGCTACACCGTGCAACTCTACACCGAAGTGCTTCGACTGAGACTGCCCGCATGCTGCAGATGGTCGTTCTTACTTCTCTACGTGACCTGCTCCTGCTGCTGCAAAATCTCAACGCTCGAGCACGCTGACATCCTACGAGCCTCTGCCAAAGCGCTTGCTCGAGGCCAGTCCTAGAACTGGAGCAAGGACATGTCTTGTCAGGCGCTCGGGTCTGGTCGCCATCTGGGAGGCACTTGTGTACAGAATCAAAGTCCTGGGAGCCATCGGGCAAGGCTGGCACTGCAGCACCGACCAGGAGCTTGCCGCTCAAGTCTCGCGACATGTCTGGACCAGGGGCAGCTTTTCAAACCGTGTCAGTTCCCATATGTTGAGGGTCGCGCTGTTTAGTAAGAATCTCGATTTGGACTGTTTCGATTACTTGATTAGTCTGCCAGCGGAGCTTCGCAAGCTTGTGCAGGGCTCCGGCCTGGAAAGTCCCTGACCTTCTTGAGATCACTGCGTGTTACCATCGACACCAGCTGATCGTCGGAGTTCAAGATCAATAACTTTCCAACCTGCCGCTCAACATCGAGGTCGCAAGGCTCCACACACCATACAAGTTCAAAAGAGTCTCGCAGTCTAGACTGAGGAAACCATGCATGATGCAGCATGGAAAATGGGTCCTTTGCGCGTTTCAGCGTGTCGAGCGCTTCTTCAAAAGAAAGAGGCTCTCTTGCAGTGACGACTCTTTCCGTCATCACTCCTTGGCGGAGCCATGGCGGGACCGCTGCCACGAGGCGAGGCTCGCAAGATTTTCAAGTCCAGTCAGAAGCGACACATGGTTGACACAAACAAAACACAGCAATTTCATTCCCACTTATTCGGCAAAGCTTAGAATCTTGACAAATACTCGCGGCGATCTGCGCAAAGATCTGCATCTCGCGCAGTCACCTCGGCAGGCCGGAGCCATCTAATAGGCCAGAAGCGGCCAATCCGGCGAAATGCTATCATTAAGGAAGACTGTAAAACAAAATGAAAACTCAATGGAGTGTCTGCTGCCGGTTTGGGACGCCAGGGCCGCTAGGGAAGCAGCTGCTGACAGCTGCTGTTGGCAGGCTTCCTACACTCGACATTGCTGCGGGGCGATCAATGAAGACGCCATGCCCTTCCGTGCCTGTTGCCGGCAAGTGAAGATTATATGCTACGTAGATCTACGTAGCGTTTTCAGGTGGAGCCATTTCTGTTGCCCGGCTTCCCTGTTCGTGCAGATGGACACGGGCAACTCGGCAAACAGCCTGGACTTGGGCTTTGGTTTGTTTCGGTGCTTGGCTGTGGGGGATGCGGCAGGCTAAAAAATCTTAAAGGTCCAAGGAGCACGCCTAGCGCGTGTATTTCTTTGGACCAAGTCGCAATGCCCAGAAGCTCACCACCCAGCCCGCCGGTGTCTGTTATCGGCACCTGGTAACCCCAAAGACATTCTCTTGCCAAGTATCGCATCAGGGCATTAAACTTGTACGCCGCACACCGACCCGACCCGGAGGAGCAGCCCCTGCATCGTGTTTTAGCCAAGATGCAGTAGTGATTCCAGTAGCTGCTTTCAGCTTGTCCAAGTCCGCCAGAGTTTGCGTAGGCCGCATGACCACAGGTTCCAGAACAAATCCGCTAACGAACCGTTTGACAGCTTGTACCATGGAAACCTGGTCGATGCGTTGAACAGCAGGCGTTGCTTTAGCACAACTCTTGCTCAAGTCTCTCGTAAGGATGCACCGGAAGAATTCGCTGAACCGTGAAAGAGCACCTAGCAGTCCATGCCCCACGCAAGGACCCTCCAAGCACCCCTGCAGAGGCTCCCAAGACCGCGCGATGAAGCCAAAACTGTCCACAATTCGCACCAGAGCGCGGCCATGACTGGCATTCCAGAACACGCACCGCAGCGCAGCAGCAAGGGCAAGCACAGCCCCACCATGGACACCATGTCCCGCAGAGGTGCGGCGGCAAGCGCGATGTTCGCAGGCACAAACACGAGTAGCGGCAAAAACGTGAGAGCACGCGGGAGGTGGACTCGCGGGACTGTGGCGACAGCCTGCGATAGGGGGAATTCCGCCAAATTCCGAAGCCCCTTACATTAAAGAGCACCGGACGCGAAGAGCATAAGAAATGAGTCAATTTTTTTAGCTCGGGAATTTTGCACCCACACCAAAATACGCACGGCACTGCATCCATCAAGACGGGAGCACCGCAGTGTTGAGTTTTGAAAACATCGTGTGTCGGCCGGCGCACAAACTGTGGAAGGATGTGCCATTAGTCAAAATGTCGATCGCGAAGCATGGAAAAGGCGGGTGTGAATGTGTCGGGCCACCTAATCAAATCCCTCCACTCTGAACGTTCTCTTAGTCATACCGCAACGCTTGGGAACTAGGAACAACATCGAGTCGCCTGTCGCTGGATGTCCTGATTTGCATGGATGATGCCCATCGCCCCGGAGAGGGCCAAAGCGATGGCCATGTTGGAATCTGTAACGGTGTCGGAAGGGCTGCCAATGATCGGCCTTAGTCCGGTCGACGGTCGAGAGGTCATGAACATCAACGAGTCCACGGGCTCTGGATCAGCCACCACTCAATGCAATGGCAGTTGGGAACTGTGGCCCAAACGACTTCAACCTGATCGTGACAGCTCACATTTGGACGTGTGAGTAGGTGTGGTAGAGCTCCGAATCGCGCCTGATGTTCTTTGTGATGTAGCTGGACAAGTCAACATCGGAGGCTTCGAACGAGGACGGCTGGGGCATGAACACCAAGTCATCATACGTGAAACCTGACTGAGTTTGCGAGGACGGCATGTGCAGGCTTTCGAAAGCACAGCCACGCTGTCAGTCTCCGTCTGTCTGGCTCTCCCACTGACGCCGGAAGTGCTAGTAACGCAAGTTATAATTAGCCTTCCAACCTTGTGGCGCAGCTTCGAAGACCTGCAAGCTGGCCGGCGAGGAACGGTTAACTGACGGCATCTAGGATCCTGGATAGAGCGAACTGCGCAGCGCCCGACTCACACTGTGCCGCCCTGCCTTGCCCGCAGGCCAGCCATCAGAAGCTGGGTCAGCCATGTGCTCCCCAGGCCTCGCGCAAGAAACTCAAAATTGTCGGCATCTCTTGCAGAAGTAGAAGCCACGGAGTCTGTACTGACAACAACGCTTGAGACTCTAATAGACTCTACCACTCAAGCCTAAGTTCGCCACAACATGTTGCGCTATTTAATATTCTAAGCATTTCTATCCTCTCGACGAGCACAGCTCGAACTTCCAAGGCTTTGTCTTGTTGCGCTCTCGGCTGCACTTGCGATCTTGAAGGTTGCACGTCACCCCTTTATCTCACTGCTAATAAGACCACCTCTGTAGATCAAGACTCATCGCATCATTGCGCCAGAAGAAGATAAAAGTAGCTGCAAAGCACCGCAAAGAGCCGTTACTTGCCAGGGGGATGCCTCTGGTGGTAGCAGTGCCATCGCGACCGGCGCTTTCCCTTTGTGCGATGAGCCGTTGAGGCAAGCAGTGTAGACTGTTGTGCAACCAACGCAATCGGCATCACTTCCAGAAGCTAGTGCAGTGAAAACGTGGAGAACAAGCGCCCAAACGGCCGACATTTTGCTAGCATGTTGGGCTCGTTTGCTTTAACGGTGCCCGGATGTCAGCTCGATATGGCTCAGCCATGAACCGACTGCACAGGGCACAGAAGACGCTGAGTGGAACACAGCCAGACGGCCGGAGTACTGACTACATGAGGCGCCTAGTGCACTTGGGTGAAACTGGCACTATCTCACTGTCGAATTTGACGTCCCGCATTCGTTCCCCTGCAAGCGTGCTTCGCACTCTCCCACTGAGGCGCAGGCACGATTCTCATCACAGTGCATATCTCAGCTGCTTCAAGTGGTGCGAACATACAAAGGACAGATTACAATTGCAAAATCAACAATGAAGGCAATCAACAAAGGAATGCTTGCACATGCCCACGACAGTGCCTGGATGGTATTCCGCTCCACTGCCGAAATCTGGGCTTGCCTAATGAAACATATGCACAACACGAGACACTTGAGGCAGTGATCAGCCGAAAAAAACCACTCGCTACCCCCTGAATGCTAACCCCTAACCGCCCTAACATGCCCTAACCCCAAAAGGAAGAACACTGTCCGGCCGGGACATTTCGGTTGGGCGCCAAGGCGACATGACGGTCACAGGGGGGTAACGTAGCAGTATTTGGCACGAGTAGCGGCACTGACAGTACGACGACGACTACTACTACCAGTGTTATAACTAGTACCAGTACTACTACTACCACTACCACTACCACTACAACGACTACGACTACTGCTGCTGCTGCTGCTGCTTCGAAAAGTGCTGGTACCATGAATTTTACTTAGTGCCACCGTACAACTACAATGGCGAGCCCAATTGCTTACTGAGTTGTTGAAATATTTGATTGCTCGCTTACTTACTTACTTACTTACTTACTTACTTACTTACTTACTTAACTTAACTTAACTTAACTTAACTTAACTTAACTTAACTTAACTTAACTTAACTTTACTTTACTTTACTTTACTTAACTTAACTTACTTAACTTAACTTAACTTAACTTAACTTTACTTTACTTTACTTACTTACTTACTTACTTGTACGTACGTACGTACGTACGTACGTACGTACGTACGTACGTACTGTTTCCCGCCTACTTCGCAACGACGAAGCCGGCTTTGCAGGGTGTTGGGTCGCTCTTCTTCGGGGTATATAGTCGTTGCCGTGATAGTAGACGTAGTAGAGGCAAGCCGATCTTTGGTTGTACTTTCTGCTGTGCTCCATGGTCCCTTCGTGGTCTGCGGGTCCTCGCGCCTCGCCTGGTCTTGCTTCTCGCTTCCTCTGTCTCAGCTCGCGAGGACGATGACGAGGTTGGAGGCGACGTTCTGGGTTGTTTCCTTTTCTTTGCGTGTTGGCGGGCTTGGCTCTGTCCTCGGTCTGTGTTGTCACACTCACTCACTCACGGCGTTCGAAGACAGTCTTCAAGCCGAGCAGGGGGACTTAGCCCCGGTGTGTTGGCAGCTGCTGGGCAGACCAACAGCAAGTAGCAACGTTGGTACGGGAGACAACGGGGGTTAGGAACACAGCCTTCCTGTCACCACACGACAAAGCCGAACAACAGGCAAAACAGCTGTGTCCGTACCCCGCCTCACTGGTCTTTTGCCAGTGCGTTCACTGCAATGCATCCAACAATTCTTGGATCTGTCGCTCTAGCCCACCACGAGGGGCTTGTCCGAGCTTACGCTTGGCGCCGTTTGCAACAAGGGCTCGTTCAAGTGACTCAAACACTGTACACCAGTCACTCCGGCAAGCCAAGTGTAACTTCACCGTTCCTTTATCCCAAGCTTTACGAAAGCGAGCAACATGTACATGCAGCGCAATGGAATTTGGGTCTGAGCCAGGCTTTGTGATACTGTCAAAATGCTCTTTGAGTATGTCCGCATCCTCCTTGGTAGCCGCGCTCCCCACTGCAGCATTCACGATGGAAGCCCACACATGTACATGAATAGGCCCCAGTGCATCGATCTTTCTTTCATTGCTCTGTACTGCTTTCATTCTCTCCACATGATTCTTTGCAGCATCACTTCCCGCAACAGCGATGGCACTGTCGCGAGGGACAATGAACGTACACAAGATGGCAGATTGCAGCTCTCTGATTTCCAGCGAGTTCTTTAAGCACAATTTGGCAAGCATCTCGAGCATCTTCTTCTCCTTGCTCGCAAGGCCTTCGTCATCCTGAACCCGCTGTTGCTTCACAGGGCGTGCACCTTCTTGCGCCTGCTGAAACCACGACATCGTGAACACTACACTATAAAGCTCAAGTCCTCGACACTTGTGGGAAATGCTGCGCGATGCACTGTAGCAACTCATGGAGCGACGATTTCTCGTCATCACAGATGGGGCACACCAGAACCATCGGCGGGATAACCTTCGTGCATGTGACGCTCCCCGCACCAGTACACCGAAGCACCCGAAGAGTATTGCGTATGTGATTTTGTGTGGTCCGGATGCTCGTAGATACATGCTTGCAAAAAGGACATTGATTACACACAGCTGCGCGCACATGTGGGTGCACATGTCCATGCGTACCTCCTTTAGTTCTTCGCCGATGCATAGCCAACGCTTGTGCGGTCCCAAAAGTAGCCGTGCATGTACTGCCATCTTCGCACTTGCAATCACAGGCAAACGACTGCCGCTCTTCCACCTCGCCACCCACCTGATCCTGCATCTGTTGCTCCTCACTCTGAGGCATGGGGATGACGACGCCAGGAGGAGGAACACAAACGGAAAAGAAAGACGAGCGGAGCTCAGTACAATCAATAGCCAGAAAATCTGCCCGATAATCTGTGAATACAAGGAAAAACCTATCTCCGATGCCATGTAACCGCTCGGCAGCCGAATCCAGTTTAAGCAATGCGACCATATCTTCTTGGAATTGACCAACCCATGGGTTAACACAAACAGCAAAACCACCATCATCCCGGACACTGGCTGCCGAATCCCAATGCAGTTTGCCAAACACAGCCGCCAATACAGTCTTGTGAAGATGAGGGCATTTTGCCACGGACTGCCAATATTGAAGTCTTCGAACGCAAAGCTCCACCCTGGCCGGCACAAAACGAAGAAGCTTACACACATCGTCAGGCATCGCTCGATACAACGTCTGTCCATCCTCTTGGAGTGTTCTTTTGCATGCTGCACCCCGCAAAACCTTTCGAGCAAACTTGTTGACAATAGAATCCAAGCGTTTGTATTCAGATTCACTGAGAAGTAGGGCCTCCAGACCTGAAAAGGCCACTCCGCGGACCATTGCCCCGAAAACCATAGCAGCAGGTCGTAAGGATTTGTTGCGAGACCAAAATCTCCCCATTGTGTAAAAGCCTCTTTCAACCGCCGCTTTACGTGCTCCGAGTTCGCAGTGATTGCTCCCCTTAAACTGTTTGTACCCTCCCAAGTACTTTGCGCATGTACACCGCTTACCAGGTAGTACTCCATGCTTGTAGACATCTTCGTAAAAAACAGATGACCCCACCCCTGCAAAGAAAGCAACATGTTCTTGTTTGTCCACATTTTGTTGAACACCAATCGAACCCAACGAACGATCCAAAATGTCATTGGAGTTAACCAGCTCAGCAGCCATCGATTCACTGCAGTCAGCCACAGTGCATCGTGCCACATCATCCGCGTATGTACTGATCGAAACATCAAGTACGTCCTGGCTAACGGGGTCTTGCATGTGTAGCTCTTGCTGTGCGGTGCGATCTCGCCACTGGTCAATAGCAGGATGATACACTTCAAGAAAATGTCCGCAAGCAACGCAATCACCTTGTAGCCCACCGGACCCAGGTTGAACACATAGTATACCATTTCTTGCTTCAATGTGCATGTAAGTTTGCCTGTGCCTCTGCTGCAATAACTCCACGTCATCAGGTCTTGCAACTTGACAAATAGCCATCTCCAATGCTTGCCTTGTTGGACTGGGAAACGCATTCGCAACGTCATAGAGTGACAGTACATGTGATACTTTATGTTGCCTGAGCCTGTGTAGTAACACCTCTTGTTGCAACATTGAATCGATACGCGACTTGTTCCGCAGATAACCCGAGGCGTAGTCCCGAAAATGCTGATGTTTCCCCCGTTTCCAAAGCGTGTCGTAAAACCATTTGCCCAGCACATCCAAGTTGTTGATGAGTCGCAATCCTGCAGGTCCCGACTTACCATTCTTTTTGTCAAGCTCTGTCGCAAAGCTACGTTGCCAAAGCACAGGGGTATGCCCGTACATCCGAATAGAAACCAACATCTTGAACAGAGCACTGTGAAACAACACAGACCTGGAGATTTCCAACTTGTATCCAACCCCGGCCCTTTGTTGTTCCATACGCCATTCCGGAAGTAAGAGCTGGCGCCACACCTCGGCTGGAAGACCCCAAGGAGGAACAGATTTTCGCAGCTTACCGAGCTTTGCCCTCGATTGAAGTGCGCGTAGGTCTTGACGTGCATGTCGTAACGAGTCTTCCAAAGAATGACAGGGGCTGTCATCCACTTCCGCGGCATGGGCAACCTGGTCCCACTCCACAACCGTCGCAGAACACCCACCCTGTGGCCCAGGCAATTGCAGGAAGTCCTTCCATTCGGAAACCGCCGGTCGCACAGATTTAGGAACATAATATTTTCTACGTTTCGGGCCCACCCTTTTTCCCGACAGCAATCGCGAAACTTCCCATACCTGATGCATGTCACGAATCCGCCATGCAGCCTCAAACTCCTTGAGTAGGGTGTTTTCCCGGTTTTGTGCATCCCTTTTTGTACAGGTGTCAACAGCCTGCCGAGCTTTCCTGAAAACAGTGAGTCTCCTCCACACGTGCAGCATGTCATGCAGAGATTGTTGCAAGAATACAATGTCCCCACCATCCAAACGACCATGACCATGCCCAAGACAAATAGTCTGATAGGAAACCAAACTTTTCTTTGCTTCCAGCATGTTATCAATGGCCTCCGCAGTGTCTGCAGGTCTCGACACAACCTTTTTTGCTGGAAGCTGGTAGACATCAACTGCAGCATCACGTATGGCAGAGTTGAAAACATGCCACATCTTGTCCGGATTGAGCATGCTAGGTATGTTAGCAAGTGCGCACTGCAAATGCCGATCCACCCTCTGAAACAAGTATTCCCTTCCAGTACCATGCAATGCATCTTCCACCAAACGCGTCTTATCCCACATAAACTTTGCCGTCGCCGGTGAGTGCTCATATGCCAAGCCAACTTCAATATCGATTTGCAGAGGTAAATGGTCCCGCCTCGCAATATCGTTAATGAGCTGTAGCCTATCCGCTGCTGAATACTGAATGTGACATCTCCGTACGTTGTGCAGTGTAGCAGTGGGTACACAAATGTAATCAACCCGAGTCTTATGCCTTCGCGGTGGTGGGCCGTAGAATGTTGGACCAACATCAAAGTGTGTATTGACAGCAGAAAAGTACTGAGAAGAAAGAAAGTCCACAAACAAACCCCCATTGAAGTTCTGCAGCTCGGGTCGATAATGTCCAACCTCATCACTTCGGGATTGTATAATTTCACCTCCAGGACCCCGTACAAGACCAACATGAGCATTGGCATCCATGCAAACAATGGGAGTGCATCTCGCAGGCAATCTTTCAACAAATCCGCGTATGTATCTCCAAAGCTGTATATTGCGATGCTGCTGCTTTTGCTTCTGCGGCTCCGTGTACATGTAGGCAGAGATGAGGCAAAGGTCCAGGTCCCCCCGCTGCAAGCGCACAGCTCCAAACCGCCCTTGAAACTCAAGAGGAGGGTTGAACACCCGGGACACATTTCGCTCCTGGAAGACTCTTTTGGCAAGCACGATTGCAACACCTGCTGCTTTGTTCTCCTGCCCTCCTTTAGCACCCCATTCATACCACAAGTGTTTTGCTGATCGTCGCAGTACACACGGCTCGTCGGTGACAAACTTGGCCAAACCCTGTAAGCACATGGCATGTGATCTCCCCAGCTCCCGTAAGATTGTGGTGCGTCGAACTTCATCTTTGGCAGCCAGAGGATTGTACGAAGTAATAAGTAGGCGCATTTACGACCAGCCCCAACAACCATCATTCATTGCCCCCCTGCGTGCACTAGCGCACTCAGCGTCGGTTACCCTACCTCACCTCAACTTGTGCAGAAAGGGCTCGGTCTGTGTTGTAATTGAATGCAGTTGGTGTTCTCCGGGTGCTCTTGCTTGTCCTGGGTCCAGTTGTCCCCCTCTTTGCTTGGTCCCCCCCGCCCTCGGTGGTAGGCTGGGAGGCCTTCACGCCCTTGAAGGAAGGAAGGTGAGGAGTAGGGCTTCTCGCTTCTGTCGGGTGGAATTTGTTTTTCTTTCCTTTTTTCTTTTTTCTGACCCTTTCTTGCGGTGCGGATCTGCCCTGCTTCAAAATTTCTTTAAAGGGCTTTTAAAGGTGTAAACGGGTTTTCGAGGACTTTAAGAGGCTTTCTGATGGTTTGAGAGGGCTGTGCGACGACCTTAGAATGTTTTTAGAGTGCGCTTTTAAAGGGTTTGAGAAGGTTCTCAGCAATTTTGGAGTGTTTTGACAGTTTCAGTGGGGTTGCCAGGCTTTGTGAGCCTGTGCTTTCGAGGGTTTTAGACGGTGGCATTTAAGGGCCAGCCCCCTGTTTGCAAACATACTGCTCGCATCGTGAATGGCGGGGTTTCAAAAAAAACTCTTATTATGCGTGGTGGGCTGCAAAAGCGACTCAGAGACTCTTGAGCAAGCTTGCACACGGCTCAAAACAGCGGGGGTGTTGCGGGGTTCGCAGCCCCCCCCATTTGCAAACACAATGCTCGCATGGTTGGTTTCAGAAACACTCATATGCTGTCAAGCAAGCTTGCACAAGCAGGGGTTGGGGGGGCAGCACCGCTCGTGTGGTGAATGGCGGAGTTTCAAAAAGACTCACATTAGCTTAAGACAGCATTATCTCACTACCACCGTCCTCACCGCCGTCATGGTCATCTTCATCTTCATGTACATCTTCATCGCCATCATCAACGTCTTTTATAACTGATGCCCTAGGCCCGGGTGTGTCTGCATCCAAACTACTGCGCAGTTAAA